CTAAATGGCAGTCAGATTCAAAATGTATACGTCTATCAATCTGTAACAATGAGAGAAATACATCATCAACTTCTGAACATTTACAGTAACAAATCAAAAATATAACCAAAGAAAGATTAATTAAGTGTCTTTAAGGTAAAAGTACATAAAAATATAATAACGATAAAGTAATAAAACAAAATGACATCAATTTGAACATAAGAACCAATGTATTAAGACAGATTAATGATTGTAGACCAAATTGAGCCAAGAAAGGATCGATTATCATTTCACGGTTTAATTGTGAGTTCCAAAGTCTGGCGCAACGGCCTTCTGCCGGCTAATGACGCCATAAACTTGAAATTATACGCTCCGTTAGCGAGGCCATCCGTTGTTTTAACGTACATATGTAACACAACAATAAAACAACTTTGACTTCCTTTGCTTGCATTTTACGTATATCCGCTTTAAAAAATATTATACAGGTCTATACCAAACATCTATCTACCTAGCTATATAATGTGATGGATTTCTATGTATGTTTTAAGATTTCAAACTCAGATCTTAGGAATGGTTTTGAATCTTCTTTTTCCCACATTTCTGATTCACTGGTTAAACTATGGGAAATAGCTTGAAATATATGGATATAAATTTAAATGTTGCTAAGTAATCTAATTTTAAAAATGCAGTATTAAATGTATTCGCGACCACAATTCATTGGAGTCCCAATCTATTTTATAAAAATTAAAAGTAAGCAGTCCGTGCAAAAAAATGCCAGCCAGGAATCAAATAGACAAAAAATATTAATGTTATAAATTCGGGTACATTAAATAGCCTGATTAAAAACTGTTTCTTTTAAGATTTCTCCGTTAATCCCCATAGTTTCTGAATAGGTCGTGCACATCCATTTCAAAATTCAGTCAATATATTTTATAGTAATTTTTGGCATTATTCCAAAAAATCTAAATATTTTTCTTCAAAGGAATCTACGTCATCCGAAAGCATTATTCTATGTAATGTAATAGAAAGGCACACGTTAACGTAATGTCGGAATAAATGGCGCGCGGTTAAGCCGGCGCATATTGAAACCATTCTCTGACAAAGTTGTTTTATCAGTACCGATAACGCTCATCCCATTTATACTGAGACTTTTTGGTACTGTCCCTACTCATCTACAGCAAACTATACGAGGATTATTACCTTTTTTTGTAAGAGTAATAGTATAGGAGTGAAGAAAAAAGAAATAATTAAAATCACTTTCCATTAATAATATGAGCAATAATAGAAGTAGAATAATTAATAATATAAATTTATATTAATAGAAAATTAATAATGGTCTTGCCTTTACAAATCTGTATAAAAATAAAAAGAAGTAGAAACCAAATGAGTTGTATATATTCTAAATAATTACCACATTATGTACATAATACCTATCTGGTAGGTACGAATGAAGTATGGTAGGTTTTTTGAGGTGAGTGGGAAACATCAGCGGTGGAAGACGCCGCGATGCGACCGCTCAGCCCGCAACGGTTACTCTCCTCCAAGTAAATTGAGGTGATACGAATATATTAAACACGTCTTATTTTTATAAAGTTTTTTTTTCCTTTTAGGTACGATAGTTAATTAAATCGAAATATATGAAAACTTCCTAAAGCAAAAAAAAAATAGAGAAAATCTCTTAAATAAAGTAAAGCTGCACAAAAATAAAACTTTTCACAAAGAGATTCAAAAATCGCAACAAAAACATATACAATAATATGTGTGTTCCGGTTGTGATATAACAGTATTCTTACTATGTACAAGTTTGTGTCCCAATCTACAAACGGAATATTTTCAGTTTGTCATTCAATAATCTAAGTACATATATTAAAACTATAATCTGCTAATAAAGACACATGCAAACATATGTAAAAAAAACTTTTTTTGTCATGATTATTTGAGAGGCACGGTTTTTCATTCATTGTTTTAATTTTCTTCCAATCGATCCTGGAAGCAAAACATACGTTCACAATCATGTATGCGAGGCTTTAAATTAATATTTTTACTCAACAATCTCAGTATACCCATATAGTGTTTTTTCTCTCCTTATTTATAATAATCGTGTGGATTTAAAATGTAGCTTGTCTTAACGCTATCACGGCCTGAACCAGCTGATTTCTACAATGATTATCGCTTTCCAGATCGGCGGAAACATTCAATCAAGCGGGCTTGTTGCAGATAAGACGTTTGTTCTGCAGGGAGGGGAGGATGCTGGGGGAGGGTAGTTGCGTTTGACACGGGCAATTGACGCCAATGATAGGATCGCATGCTGAGTCTGCATGGATGTAGTGTAAGAGCGACTCTTTATGGAATTATATAAATATGGGACCATAGAAATTTCAGGGTCATGATGAAACTCTCAAGACATAAAAAACAATCGCAATATCTATGTCCAAAAATAAGCTTATTATTGTTTTATTATAAAGTAAGACAATGATTTCTCTTATATTTACGTTTCCAAGTCTATTTTCTAAATCACTTTTATACAAAAAACAAAATTATACCAAGTTTATAGTATTAATGGTTAAAGATTATTAATAATTCCAATTGAAACTGATGTTATAGCTTCTACACCTCACTCACGACAAGTCAGATATAAATATAGAAACGTCTTCATATAAATTATGAATTTTAAGTAACTACCATTATCTAAACACTAGTGATATTTCTATTAATACTTATAATAAAAGAAGCAATCATTGGTAGACAAACCATTAGTTTACTATAATTGCTTTACCTTTTCACCTTGGTGGTTTTTGAACTAACACAATTTACTTTTTATTTTTATAATTTTCCAATAATTTATATATTTTTTATATAATATATCATACTGTATGAATAAATAAATAAACGATAGTTTATCTGATAGCTCTTAGACTATAACTACATATAAGGTGACTGTTGGCGTGCCGCGACACCGCTTCCGATGAACTAAATGATAAGATCTCCGCTACTGCGATCTCTTTCAAGTATCTTTTTCCAAACTAAAACTATTTCAAAACCCACCATTTTCTTTTAAACAAAGTCGAATATTTATAGACTCAAATTTTAAACAGTCTAAAATAAACCATGATAAGTTTTAGATGGAAGATATCATGTGAACAAATAATATACAGAAAGTAGGTAATTCCTTACATACGTATTCAATTCTGAGTTAAGTGTAGATTTAAGTGTAATTTAGCTTCGTTTTGTAATCTCTAAGCGAATTTACAAGTATAGAATTTAAGAGATTATCATTTTAAATCTAAATCTAATAGAGATATTATTTATTTATACGGTGATAACAGTACAATTGTCTTTTTATCCTAAAAAAAATAATTACACGAAACTGAAACACCAAACTCTTGGATTGTTCTTCAAATCTCCATATTAAAAATAATTTAATAGCTACCCTTTAGATATAGTAGTACGTTTGTCAAAACGAGTTCAATTTTCAGCCCTTTCTGTTATATAGGTACAACCTTTTTAAATAACTGTAGCTGGCTAGATCTTCGTAATCACCTGGTAGTTAATAGAAAAGTATCAATACTAGTACACTATCTCTATGAAAACTTATCCAGTCTCCAAATTTTAAATGGGAGAGAAATCAGCTTTAAAATTTTTCCCATAAGACCTTGAGTATGAAAAGATATTTACCGTTCTGTCTTTATCCAGGAACAAGCTAATTCTGTGAAGATTTATTTTAAAAAAAACTGAAAACTATGTGGAGTTTCAAGTCAAATAGTACCGATAATTATAACTTAATGATTACTCATCTATTATTTTGTTTATCTATTAGTGAAGTCAGATCATTTAACATATGTAAATGTTATCCATTATAATATACAATTAATACAAGACAATACGACATAAGTTTGATTTATCTAACTGACATGATAATTAACATTCGCAGCAGGTTGATATCTAGGCGTTTTCTTAATTGCTTACAATATAACGCCATCTGTCGTTAAGTTAATAAAGGTTATACACCTGTTACAGTTAAATCTCTCGAGTTTTATTTGTTTAACGCATCTTAGTAATTCCATCATTAGGTAAGCCGCAAAGGACGGTTTATGTCTTTATTTGGATTTTATTGGTGTTATTCTAAATGGTATTTAAATTTAACCGACTTCGTAATCTTTTGCTAGCAATATATTTTACAGGATATAAATTGTAAGAATCATGATATGTTGCCAAAGTCTATGTTATTTTTATCACAAAAAAATAAATGGAACTTTATTATGAGATTTAATTTCAATACAGACACCCATTTCAATTTATGACATAATTTATATAAAAATATGCAGTACATATATGATATAAATTTGCTTTAAATCGCGTATATTGAGTCGAATACCTACCATAAAAAAGTTAAAAGTATGCCCATAAAATTATTTTCGTATATAAGCACGAATAATAACATATCAGTCATATAGATAATTAAGTTGTTTCCAGTCGATAGACCCCAATGAAGCAGTTACTATCACTTATATAGGTAGATTCTTATGTGCAGGCTATTAATTGGCCAGCGAGCATTGGAGCGAGACCGTCTGGTCACGTAACATTACCCGCGGCTTAATATAATTGCCGCTGCATCGATAATTTTTCTGTATACAATAAAATACGCATTAAATGCTTTTACGTTTGTGGAGTCTTCGATATGAGGGAAATTTTGGAGTTTGAATTGGTTATGTCGGTTGCAAGATTGGCTTAAGGTAATTTTCTATTCATAATTTGTAGTTTTTAACTCTGATATCATCAACATTAATCAAATTTGTACTCTATGGTTGAGACATGATTGAGTTTAAATTCTGATAACAATGAAAGCGATGTGTGTTGTTTATAAATACATATCTTCGACGACTATGCAACCATATTATTATATTTCGTTATCAAATGCATACATCAAATTATTTAAATTGAAACCGAAATAAAAAAATATCATATCGAAGTCTCAAAGGATTCATACTAAAAACCAAGACAAAATCTTAGTGTCGGTATAAATGCAAAGAGTAATCAAGATAATTAAGGGTAGCGCTAAACAAAGTGTTTACAGTCGCGCGGGACACAATGAGGCGGAGGGGCGTCGAGACGCTTGCCCACATCGCAGGGTTGTCTATAATAATATTCTATATACTAAATATTACTTTAATTTTACAAGGCACCTTAGTTATTAGACTCAACCCTTAATAGAATTAATGATATACCAAAAATTATAAAGCTCTCGAAATAGGATGTTGCTTATTTTATTTGAATTTAAATTCACATGCTAACTGAATATACATATGTATATACTATAGTGTGACTTACTTGGATAAAAAATAAATGTAGTGCAATATATGTATATTAAAAAATATATTGAAATCGCTTAAGAGAGATTTATACAGATTCAAATTTAAACAGTAGATTGAGCTCTATTTTCACATTTTAAGAGACAATGTATTATTCTAAATGTATAAGTAATTTAAATTATATGTATGAAAGGATGAGTAAAATTATGAAAAAAGTATGTATTTTTTGTATCCCCAACCATATTTACATGTACCGGGTGACATTTGGTGCCGTATGCGTGATTTTTTGTAGTGGACCAGCGACGCGGAAAGCATTGTGACTTCCCTACACGCAGCTTGAAACCATACTCATTAAATAGTAGGGATATATTGACGAATATCAATTATTATTAATATATAATAGAAGTTTTATCCCATCAAACATATATTCTAATCAAGTTATCTGCACTAGATGACTTCGTAGTTCTTGATATTACAGTTCATTGTCTTAAATATAGATGTACTTCAAGAGACTACATTAAAATCCTCATTAATATCCCAAAGTCGAGAGCGAAGACAAAAGACGCAAGAAGTGGAAACATCTCTTGATGCTGATGAGAGTGCAACTATCGAGACGCGAGATAAGGTACAGCTATAGTGAATGGGACAGCTTTTTATATTGAATTACTTTTCTGTATAATATGTGTTCTAAATCTAACATTTAAATGATAATTTATTATATAATTATTATTATGTATAAATATATATTTCAACTGTTTGGTAAAACAATAAATCTCATAAATATTTTTCTGGAATTCATCTATACAATAAGTATGTTAGCAAAAAATTTGAAGTAGCTTTTGACAAAATGATATAGGTATAAAATGATAAATATCCTTCTAAAAAAAAACACAACGCATTGTAATCGTTTTCATTTAACGTAATTTACCACTTGAAACCTTCAATAAAGTATCCAAAAATCGATTACTCAGTTTAATAAAAAATGCGAGGGGAAGTTGGGGCGGAGCAACCCCACAGTAAAAAAACGCGTGAACATTTGTAGCAATAATTCGAGCCACAAGCCATGGGCCGCGGCTGCTGTTGAAAGAATGATACATCATCAGACCAATAATAAATCACACATGATTCAATTAGAAAAATACTACGGGATGGCGAAAAACCGTTGAATTGTCGCCTTTGAAGCGATTCACATTTGGAGGGTAATTTGACGGTTCGTATTGCGTCATCAATCAAGCGCAATTAACAGTTAGTGTCTGCGAATTTATTTTAAAACGTTTATAGAACATGAACTTTCATACAAATCAACAATCAAAAGGGTAATAGTCAAATAATATTTATAAATTACATTTAATATGACAGCAGTGTTTTGACGTTTCGTAAATGATGTCACTGATTTTTAGTTGTTTGTAATATGAAATAATAAGTCGTGTTATTGAAAGTATATTGTATTTGATTTGCAAATGCTATGTATAAACTGGTACATATGTCCAGATCTGTCCAGTCTTCTGTATTAGGATGATAATAACAAACAGCAATATTTTTACGAGATAAGCAAAACGTAATTACAACCCACCAAAACATCTGACGTTGGACACATGAGCTTTCGGCGCACTCAATAACTCATTGCATTGTAACGAGGGGTGAGTCGTGGGAGGGAGGGGGGGGTGTCACGTGCCCGGGTGCTGGTAATGAGCGTTCGTCCCCTCCCTCCCCTTCCAGAATTTCACACATACACCACGACTGATTATTTTGATTTACTGCGTCACATTTTTCCGATAGCTGCAAAATACGACATACTTTTAATATGTTTTTTTTATTGCATTTATCTTATCGAAATCGGCATTTTGGGTGCGATTTCCGAAATTCTGTGATGGTTTCTTATAAAGTTATATGCTCACACAATACGCGATACTTCTTGTTCAACGTAAAAATCATATGCGGCACCGCGGGCGCTTACCGGATTCACTATGTTCATACAATACTTACTGCCCCAAGGATATAACCATAGAGTTATAAAAGATATAGAATGGATAATACACATTTTTAACATTTTGATATCCAGTTAATGAATCAAGTAAAATTTGCATATATTATAATACTCTTCTATTTCTTTGCCATCATTGCGACATTAGTAAAAATAATATTTAATTCAAAAATGTAATAGTAATCAATAGTTATTTTTTGAATGAAATAATAAAAATTCATTACTGGACTTTAGCCCTGTGAAAAATTCGTGAATGATCTCTGTAAAACAAGAGCATATTAAATACCTGTATTCTGTAGTGCGAGTTTTCATAGTCAAAGTAAAACCGACGCGACGGTTCATATTTTTTATTCAAAAATCATCGGTGATGAAAATATTACGGTGATTTTTAAATGGAAATAGCCAATATTTTTGTTAAACTAAAGAAGCTTTGACTTTAACTGCGTATACACGGTATACTTATTTACCTTAGTTAGTTCCTATTCCTAAATTTAGTTAACTTTACAACTTAACAATAATATAATGAAATATGAATATGTAGGTCAAAGTATCAGTATAAAGACTTTAGGTATATATAAATAATAACGTTGTATGAAAAAAGATTTAGGATTTTAAAGAAATAAAATATCCTTTATTTTCTATTTTTATTTCATGATTAAATAATTTCTGTAAATAAGGAACTTATTAAATAAATCAACAAAGGATGAAAAGGTATTGTTCTAGATAGAAAAGTATATGAAACGAGAATTAAAACATTAGGTAAAGTTTTTTTTTGACAAACAACTTCATATTTTACTGTCTGTTTAATTCGGGACATATTATATTTCAACAAGTTGCGATAGCCTAGAGGTTAAAGGCCCAACTCTCGTGCATGAGGGTGCGAATTCGAAACCTAGCAAGTACCTATGTTATTTCCCCTAAGTCATCTGTACTTTCTAAGAGAATTTAGACACCAATGACAAGCTGTGAAGAAACATATCGTGAGGAAACCTGGACTCATAATATCGGATTATAAGTTTTGAATCAAAAATCCCCCTTGAGCAAGCCTGGTGATTGTAGCTCTAATCTTCTCCATGTGCGAAGAGGCCTTTGCTTAACAGTGAGCTCCGATAGGCTGATGATAATGATGATGATATCTTAGCTCATATTTTTTTACTTGGCCCTAGCAAGTACCAATATGATTTTCCGAGTCATATGTACCTACTTTCTAAGAGTATTTAGAGATCACTGATTAATGCATTCCCAAACAGGGTTGACGTCAGGCAGGCGGCCCGTCGTAAAAAGAATTAACCAATATATTCACAATATGTAAGGCAGACCCTGGCTAAACCTGGGAAATTGCCAGGTAGAAGAAGAAGAAGTTAAATTGTAAATGTGTTATATTGCGTGACTTTATTGATATTAGTTAATATTGTTTCTATATGTTAGTCTTAATATTTATTTATGAAACCTAATTAATATTTAATTTTTAAACTTAATATTTATTTTTGAAACATTTCACAACTCACTTATATGTATAAAAGCATAACAGTTTCAATTTATTACACTAGAATTTGAATTAAATATCTAGAAAATTAATATTAATTGTGTCAATCACTCAAAGGTATACTATCTATAAATTATTAGCTCTATATTAAAACCGGAAAGGTTTCCCTTCAAATTCAAGTGGCCAATTATGGAGTTACGTTTGGTCTTTACCTCTTTTAACTCCAGAACACTCCACCTTTTGTACGGTGCCAAAGTTTAAAAACATTGCGAAATAAGTGCGCTCCGAAACAGCGGGGTCCTATTGATACGTCCCGAGTTATTGATCACGAATTATTGACGCTAACACTATAATAGAATTTTCTATAGAAAGCTAAAAGCATTATTAAAAAGATACAGGAACTTCAGTTTAATAAAGATACGAGTTGAAATATCCGCTTATATGTTGATAACAGTTTTTTAAAAGTAAAACGGAAAAAAGTTTTAATATGTAGGTACAGACTATTAATGTGTCCATTTAAATGTAATTTCGACCTAAATTGGCTGTCAGTAACTTCCTTTGCCGAGTTTGTAAAACATTGAGAGATAGGAATAGGTATTATTAAATTTAAATACGAACTTATATTTAATTTAAAAGTCCCAAAATTGCAATACAAATAAAAATTATCAATTAATATTATATAAACAAATTATAATTAGTTTACAAAAATAAACTTTTAACTCGATACCTTTATATGCTTACCTACCTATTTTTTTATTTTAAGATCCTTTTTGAAAAATTTATAAAGTAATTTTTGAAAGTTACAGCATAATTGATATCATTTTTGTTCTGTTGCTTTATTATATTGACATTTAATTAGTTCATTAGTAATCATTATAAAATACACATATAAAGCATCCAAAAATTCACTGTATATTACAAACATAACATCATTTCAAGACCACACACTTTAAACCTAATCAGCATACCATTGAATACAAATAAGTAATAATCCAATCTAGTAACATTAAATAGCTAGCATGAATTAAGACGTCATCTCAGCCGTGCTGTTTCTATTCAAGGAAATGACGGATCCAAAGCCACATTTTTTTCGGCAGCCCTTCAATACAAGCCGAGAGTCGGTAAATAGTTAACAAAGGATCCACAATACCCCAATGCCGATGTTTGGGACACAAATAAAGAGAATCTCTGTAGGTGAATTCTTTGTGCGCACACGCATTGTTTGTGAGTTGCACAAACCGTTCGGTAGCTGTCGGTGTTATCGTCAAAGTGTTGTTTGGGTACAATATTATTTTTATTGCTGTAATTGAATGAGGTACCGTCTGTGAGAACGATCTAGTCATCAACCCTAGTTGTTTTGACTTTCTAATTTTACCATCCTTTTGTGGCTTTGTTTGGTTTTCGTTGTTATAAAATAAATTACAATTTAATATTTTCTTGATTTATTTTTAATATACGCTGGCTTGTCATAACAAATAGTTTTAAAAAATACCTATTTCTTATAACTTCATGTAAGTATCTGATGATTTTTAAAGTAATTATGAAAATTCATTTTGGAAACTATGTACAAACATAAGTCTTATAGTCTATAGTGAATATGGAGAACAGTTATATTTTATATTAAATTATTTTCCAATACCTTATGTATATACAGGTACCTATACCTAATAATAATGCTACAACTATGTTATACTTACTCCGAAACATTCTTAAAACAACAAACATAATACGGAAACATTTTGAAACTAAATTTATAACCCAGTCGATTTTTACAACCGACCGGCTAACCCACTAGCGAATTGCAAGCCATAAAACTATTGGCATTTGCAAAATTTCTGCTTTTGTTAAAACAAATGTTTACTATATCTTATCTGTGGTTGTCATAAAAAACAATATGGCCGCGGATGTAAAATGTTCAAAGAAACCGGCTGAAACAAAGGGTCATAAACATTATGGTCTTGTTTAGGTGAAAGAGCTACCTCATTGTTAAGCAGAAACCGCCTTATCAAGAATATTGAACCTCATTTCGTTAAACAATAATTTTTCTACGTTTATTGGTACAATAATATTAAAAGTAATATTATTAACAATTCTCAATTCAATTCAATACATAGTTCAATTCTTAAAAACTATTATATTAAAATTACCAAAGGTTTTTGTTTGCAACAAAATTATTTGTAATAATTTCATAGAGTTATCTAAAGAGGAAAAATTATTACCTATACACAAATATAGACAAAGTCTTAATACGATACATGATACGTGTTCAAAATTTCTAATTTATATAAAATATTCTTAACTTAAATATTATAAAAAAATCAAAAAAGTAGTAATATTATAACAAACAAAATTTTCTTATTACCAGGTATAACAATAATCTTGAAATATGTATTATATATTTTAATCTGTACATAATTTTTTAATTGCAAAGTAAACATTGTCTGTGAAATTTCGTGCAAATAACGAAAAAAAGGATATCGTGAAGTAATGATATGATCGATGTACGTAACGTGTTAACGATAGCGCGGGAAACTCTACCAGAAGTTATGTCCAAGTTTGTTCGCCCCGCCTCAGTAACGCCCATAGCGCCGTCTCACTCACAACGCTAACCGCATGCGGTTACTCACTAAACTTAAAAGTACAAATATAACTCAATTATACATACTTTATATAGTAATTAAACTTTATATACTTGTATATTCGATCATACATATCCTTAAAGTTATAGCTGATAACGCTTTATACAAAACTTTGTTAAGAAAAACTTATTGTAAGACAACAATGTCAATGACTCGACAATCGGAACTTCTGAAAGCCATCGGCCAGATAAAGTGCTGCCATGAATCAAGCATTCGATTCAAACATGGAAATCATAATTTTTCATGAGCCCGTTGATAGGTTTTCGCACCGGCCGCGGTTTCCCGCCGCCCCGTGGCCTAATTACCACCACCTCGTGATACGTCACCGCTGTGATTCAAAAAAATGCTCACATCCCTCTCCAACCGGCGCGGTGGCCCGGCGGCGTCTCGTTCCCGCCGGTATTTTTATAAAAACGCCGCGTCCGACCGCCGCCGTCCCGTTCGTTCCCGCAGCCTCTCCGCGCTACCCGCACCCTTCGTCTCCTTCCCGCTTTTTACGAGACGTAGGGCCCTCCACCCGGGTGGGGGCGGCGACCGCGCGAACGCAAAATATTGACCATCGGAAAAAGTCGCGTCGTATCGCAGTCATCAGTCGAAACTGACTCCCATCGAGTACGCGTCCCTTCGCGGCTTCGTTGCGCGTCGTGCGTCTTCGGCCTGCGGTCTCGGCTCGCCCGTATATTTTTCCGAGTCTCCGAGTCCCCACCCGGCGTCTTGCGCCCAACAAGTGGTGTAAACGGCAGACGGCTCGCGTCTCGCACCCATTCTTTACACAACTTTACCGAGTGCTGCACACTTTGGCGCGAGTTTGAAGTTTGAAATACGATCGCGTGTACGTGGAAACTTTTCGTCGGAGTGTTTTAGTGGCGTGATACTGTACTTTAGTGGCGTGTGGAGAGGTATTCGAGGGTGAACTGGAGTCGATGCACCTTCCGCACGCAAGCCCTCCGACACCTACGATGGCGGATGTTTACTCCCACATCCATGAGTACTACCGTCAGACTCACGGTGACTTGGTGCAGACCGGTTCACCAGCTGTGTTGTGTTCAGCTCTGCCCGGCCACTGGAGGTCGAACAAGTCTTTACCTGTGGCCTTCAAGGTTGTTGCCTTAGACGACGTCCAGGATGGCACAATAGTGACGATAAAGGCTGGCAATGATGAAAACGTTATGGCCGAGATGAGAAACTGCACGGCGGTTATGAAAAACCAAGTGGCAAAGTTCAATGACTTGAGGTTTGTGGGACGAAGTGGACGAGGGAAGTCCTTCAGTCTCACCATCACAATCAGTACTTTTCCCTCACAAGTGGCAACATATTCAAAGGCCATCAAAGTCACCGTTGACGGCCCGAGAGAACCCAGAACTAAACAGAGTAAGTTTACTTTTATTTCTATATACTTTTGCCGACTACGTAACATTTACGTCCATATCTTAATATTTTTATAAAACTCCATAGCTCTCCTTATCAGTCCCTTTTATATTTTTCTTATAATTATACCATTACTATTCTTATAATTCTTTTCTTATAATCTTACGCTAAAACTAAAGAAATGAAGTAAAAAGCCGCCTTTCATTTTTATTAATAAAATGAACGGTATATAATTGCAATATTTAGGTGAATTATATTATCCGTATTTATGGTCAAAAATATTATCCAAAACCATTTTTATTCATGTTAAAAATAATATTTTTAAAACCATTCCACCGTATCGTTGATTATAAAATATAAAATTAAAACAGTTCAGACGAAATATTCGCTAGTTTCAATGAAATATTAGTTTAAAAAAAATCTAAACGCCAGGGTGACGTAAAAAAAACTTTTATCGCTTAGTAAAAAGTATAAAACGAAGAAATATCATATGCGCGTGCGTTGGCTGTTGGCCAGTCCGCAGTACAATTTGCGGCCCACAACATTTGACCACATTCGAAATAGTTTTATATCAAATCTTCTGACTTATCCTATTATAAAACGCTACCCAGACAGACGATAAATATGTTTATACTACACGTCAATAAAAAACTACAATTTAAGAATCATATGTTAAAGTTATCATTGCTAAAATTTACATGTCTCTCGCTATAACAAAAAATTGTTTTAACAATCAAACATGTACATAGATTTAAAAGTATATATGACATACTTTCTTGATACTCCTAAATTCTTCTAAAACAACAAGGCATTCATATTTTCATTAATAGTTTCGTTTATAGATACATATTCTGGGTCATACCATACCATATGAACTAGACAAATATAATCCCGACATCTGTATCATTGTGAGAACGCGAGCATTCAATCACATGGACATTAATTAGGTGCTTCGTTTAATCTCAAACAAACGGGGAAGTTCTCGAAATAGCTCTGATTGTCTGCGTCTCCACTGTTTTGATGTGGAGTTACAAACGGTTATTGGTTCAGCTTTTAAAATTAAACTGAAAGGGTGTTTTAATGGTGCATAATTCTTATTTAAGTACTACCAAATCTTGAGATTTGTTGAAGTATTCGCTGTATGATTAACTATATGCGTAAATTGATTCATGTTTATTTGTTTATTGAAATAATTATTCCAGAGCCTAATTCATACGATATTTTTATATACATATATAGGTCTGTTCCGCGGTATTAAATATAACTTATTTTTGAAATTAAAATCTTTTTCATTTATTAAAAAAAAGAATCCAAATGTATAATATAAAATTTACAATATTGAATAGGTATACTCTTTAAATTAAATAGCATATAATTGTTATAAAAATATAAAAAGTTATTTCACTGTATAACTATCAAATAATATAAACTATTACTGACAGCTGATACAAGGAAAAAAAGACTATTTGATATCAAAACTGATTAACCCGGTATGTCAAAACAAAACAACACCTAATCCACATAATATTCACCTCGAAATGAATCAATTAACAAATGTATAAACTAACAACCGACTTTTGACACCACAAATCTATTTTAGTAGTAACGTTCACCGAGACCGTCTGTATAAACAAACATACGCCCAAACTTTGGTCAATAATAAAAAGACAGTATGCGGAAAAAATAACATCCTCGACAATAAACATCAAAGACACGATAATAACGATACTATGGTATTACGGAAATTATCACGGTATTTGTATAGAAATTAATTAATATTATCATATTAAAATTACTAAGAGAATGTATCAAATGAATTGACATCTATTCTTACAACTATTGATTAGAACGAATTCTGACTTGTTTGACAAAACCAAATAAATCACGAATAGCGAATTATCATAATCATAATACATAGTAGTTTTATCTGATTCTAACTATGATGAGTACAGAAAATTATAATATCATTTTATATTAAATAATGTACTCTTTAAAACGTAAATTAAATGCAACACTCGGTGTATAAGCGGTTAACATTTCGATGGTGCGGCGTCTTACAACAGATGTAAACAGTCTCAGGCCCGCTATAAACTCCGTTTGATGTGCCCGCCAGGCCGTTGTGTATAAAATATGTCCTTCTCTGCTGAAACGTCACATCCAGCGACCCTCATAACCCATTCGTGTTAGGATTTACCACCGATAGTTCTCAGTTCCTGAATCAAGACAATTATTATATTTACAACGGTTCAACTAAATAATGTTACGGTTTTCGTAATAGGAATGCTAAAAATATGTCGAATAAACACGATTTATTTCAATCAATTCCAACGTCCGACATAAACCGAGACAATAAAGACTGAGATAATATAAATGCGGTGTTTGTCATAAGACACCGTCGTGTTATGAGCTATAACTCTGATTCAATTTATTCACGAGCCCAACGCGTCTTACACATTAATTTGATGTAACAAACGATCTTCTCTCTTATTACTCGTGATTTAACGCCTATTTTGACATATCATTCATATATCACTTATGTCTTTATTACAACATCAGCGTGATATTAGTGGGTGACGAACTCTTTTACTCTTCAATTCCTTCAGTAACGAATCATCGTACTCCACATTACTCCTAATTTAAAATACTCCCGACTAAAGTATCATTTATTAATCAAAAACGTCTGAGCATTTAGGGATCGTTGTATTAATATTGAGAAACCCGCATGTGCAAAGGGTTGGGGAACCGAATTTAATTGAATACTGGCATTAACAAATGGAGCGGCCATTTCCGAGTTCCACGTTTAACTTATTATGTAGCATGATGGCGGAGTCGCTCTCCACACTGGCACGTGACAGCGCCGCGGACCATCCATCACGTTCTTAATTTAAAACGCCCGCGATTTGGGTAAAGCTTGCTTGAAACACTCGCTAATCTCGGATCTTAAAAGATTCTGAACAGAAATAAAGCGATAGCTTCTGTAAACATTCTTAGTGAGCAATAAAAATGTCTACACACCTGATTATATATCGGCTAACAAGGACGTTAGATAACTGGCATTGTGTTTGGATTGCGAACAAATTTAGACTGTAAACTTAAAATCTTGCGCAACATTAAACATCTAAGAGTCACTAAACAATGTTTGTTAACTCAAAACAAAGTAGACAAAGAGCTCGTAAACAGCTAATCCTGTAATAAAAAAGTCGATACACCTGATCTCATCGATTGAGATGGGTCGCGACCGGATTAAAAGCGGCCGTAAAACAAAAATAACCGTTGGCAGTGGCGTCTTCATCAGGCTATGGATTAAACAAATAAAAAAAAACGTTTTGCTAGTTGTAAGACGATAAGCAAAGCTATGCTGAGGGATCGTAAAATTGTATGGCACAGAGATGCCGTCCAAATGCAGTAGTAAACCATCTCGTTTTGTATACAAGCCTTGATACAGTCGGCGGACGTGGTAAACACAGAGCGTGTGTCGCCGCCTTTACGGCTTTCCTTTGTCAGGCAATGATTGCGACTTCTTGCGAATATAAGCTTGATTATAACTTAAGGCAATTCTTCTACTTTTTTGACATACCTACATACTGATACATATATTTTTTGTATTAAGTACCTTTTTCATTGTTATAGATTATGGATATGGACACCCGGGAGCGTTTAATCCGTTCCTTCTGAATCCAGGCTGGTTGGACGCAGCGTATTTAAACTACGCCTGGGCCGATTACTTTAGACCACCACAGCTAAGAGATCAAGCTCTTATAAAAGGTAAGAATTCATATAAATACATTTATCTTATAGAGATTTTAATATTATGTATTCAAAATTCAATATACGGTATCATAAGCTAAGTTTAGTTAACTACATATGTTGTTAAAATAACGCTGTAAGAAAATATCTAGCTAATATAAAATGAAAACTCATATAGCTCGATATCTGATATTTGTTGTTACCGGTTCCTATTAAACTTCCAATCGACGGATTATTTGGCATTCGTTAATTTAAAAATTCCCGATTTAACAAACAACACTCGAAAAACATGTTGCTCGCAACGGAACCACCCCTCAAGGCCGTACAGCGCAAAGGTTCAAATAAAAGAAGCGGCTCTTGAAGGCTGCAAAACAACACCGGCTCGACCAAAGCAAAACCACCCGCTGAAGTCCGTCCGCCGGGGGAAGTGGGGGTGTAGTAGAAAAAGTATAAAAAGCATCGCCTTCTCGTTCGAGAGAGTGTGGAGTCAATTTTATTCCAATGTAGGCGACCGCGCCGCCAGCCACTTTTTGTTTCCGACGTTGAAACGCGAGGAACGATGTACTCTAACACCTACCGAATTTTATTAAAACCATCCTAAGTTACACTTTGAATGGGCACCGTCAACTTTGTTACGAACTTGCAATAATCCTAGACAATTAAACGCACCTAACTTTCATTAACGACATTTATTATTCTGCTTACAAAATGTAATGAAATCATAAACATTTCATCTTATCCCACTCTAAGTTATAATTACGTAATGTTGTAATAATAATAATAATAATAATTGTAGTACTTTTAATAAAACCGTTTCAAATCTGGACGCCGGGATCACCTCAATCAGGCTCGACGCCGATATTGGCCCCCACCTCACCAAATTACCCCCTAGTTACGACCCCACCCACCCTCTTTGCCTTTTAAAGTGGTCTGCGCACCACTGCCACTGCTGCAAATATAAAAAAGTGTAAAAGAGATACAAGCGCAGCACCTACGCGCTCTTTGTGGCCCAATCTGCGCCTCCATCGTGTCCTTTTTATGCACTCGCCTCTCTTACACTTATCGAGAATCAAAGCTCGTACGACTACAAAAACTTTTGAACACTGCTACTAATGAAAATTTCACGTTTCGAGTCCTCTTTGTCCTACCTGTGCGGAGATAGCGAACTTCCTTATCGCGATAGATCCGGCTTTGTACGAATGTGTCCGATGCAACACCTCACACGTGCCTGGCATTACTAATGCGCTATCCACTCACAATACGGGAGACATACACCAGCTCGAATTAAGTTGAAATGTCGTGTCTGGATCGTAAAGAACGACGTTACGTTCAGATAAATAAATATTGAACCCTCACCCTCACAATATCGTACTAAAAAAACATCCCTTTCGATGAAGCCGCCTTTAAACGCCTACAGATTGTACATTATCCTTAGTACGATTATGCACCCTCGTTGTTCAGGGAATCAGCAGAGTGCCGCGTACCCCGGGCTATCCCTGGGGGCTCGTCTCTCATATTACGTCATGTTAAATCAGACAGCAGAAGCTGCATTCGAAAGCATTTTTATTGATTTCTAAATTGGTTTTCTTTTTGTTAAAGGTGGAGCGGCGCCAATTACTACACCGCCAGTTGCGTTACCAGGAGCTGAACTGTTTCCGTTTCCTCCAATGATGGGAACGTTACCTCCAGGTGGACTGATTCCACCGCCGGGAGCATTTTTACCACCGAACGGGATGCTACCATTTACTCCTCATCCCGCGGACCTTGCATTGAAAAATTTACCGCAAGATATAAAGAATGGCGTTAGTCCTTATGATGCTTTAAGGCATTTCCAAAGCAACGTACTATCGATAGACACGTCAAGCGCTCGATTATCACCAACAAGTAGTAGACAGAGCGGTAGCCCACGAAGCGTTATAAATACCAGTCCAAGATCGAAAGCTGATTCAAAATCTGAAATTAATTCGACACACGAAGCAACGATATCCGACGAATCGGATGAAGAGCAGATAGAAGTCGTGAAATCAGCTTTCCATCCAACGCGACCAGCGAACGTTGAGCTCCAGGAGATGAAGCAAGTGCAAGCTGCAGATTCAACCGTATCGGATCGACCTCGTGTACGTAATGAACTTAAAGCACCTTTACACCGTACTACGCGAGTCCTATCGACTAGTCCGACCTCGACGAAAATTTCGAACGGTGCTATTTCAACGCATAAATCAGTATGGCGACCGTATTAACACACATGTTCTAGTGACATTAGTGAGTGGAAGTATTGAATTGTGATAAAACGAGCTTGTAAATATTGTAGGTATTTCAAAATGATATATATTTATTGATAGCTATAGAATATTTAGTTCATAAAAACTTCGTTGCTAGAAGTCATTGGTGTAAATTGTATTATAACGGTATAGTTGTTATGGGCGTTGTTAAAGCTTTTTATTATAAAATACATAGATGCATTTAAAATTATTTCTTCGTTATTATCGTATGTATGCAAATTGTAATTATAGATTTAATTTAGACACTCATTGTTAACCTTCGAATTGACTGACTATATCTTATTTAGAAAACAAATTGAATTTTATTTGTATAAAATGTAAATGTATTTATTATTAGTGTACATTACGTTTATAATATAAAAAATGTCGCCAGAAATGTAAATACGTAGGTCCAAATATAAAAAATGAGAAATATAATATTTGTTTTCGTTTTTATTACACTCTATCCGTTAATATAATCAAATAAAAAAAAGAAAAAATATAGCAAAAAGTTTTTAATGTCAAATCCAAATCATTTCATAGAGACATAAAATTGTTTTTATTTCGCATATTGTCTATAGTTACACAATTTACACATACATACCCATTAAAAATTGTTTACGTCTGTGCGTTGAACGTGTCTTGCACGTGTATAATAGAAACTAATTAATTACTACACTCGACAACACAATCGTAGAGAAATCATTATTGACATAAAATCATTCAATTCCACATCACCATTTGCCCTTATATTCCTTTCCATGTCACAAAATAATACGTATTAGTATATAATTCTCTGATTTGCTATACAGAAAACAACATGGGTTTATGAAACTAATATTTTTCTAATTATATTACGCGTTTATTATTATTTTAAAACTACATACTCCCAACGTTTCGGTTACTTTTCAGCAACCGCGATCGAACGTAGTAATCCGAAAAATATTAGTTTCATTTAAATGAGTAGATAGATCTCAGTATGACCAATTATATGTGATATTTTTAACAAAAAGATCGTAAATTCAATATCATATTCTATAAAATATAAATAAACTGGTATATAAGTTTAGTGGAGGTGTATAAATCCGGTAGTATGGGGGTAGGTGATGACTATCAATTGTGTTTCCGAGCTGATCCGGTTAGCTGATTGCACACTGCGCCCCGCGGTCAACCCACTCCTCAAACAACGCCTGGCTGACAAACATATACTAGAAAAGAGTATACAATTATACAAACATTACTATCAAATCTATTTATTGTATAGAATACACCTTTCATAGCACAATGACTATCAAACAAAAAATCTACTTGGATGTTATTTAAAGGGTAATTACTAAAACATATGATATTATAGTAGATACTACTATCATTAGGCATTAATTAATTACGTAATATATTAGTAATATTTGGATAAATCATCTAACTAACCAAAAATTGCAATGTATGTACCACAAATCTACTTATCTGTTGATCAATAATCATAATTACTTTCAATGTATTGATGTCTTATCTAGTATGCGATGGTGGTACATGAATAGAGGCCCCTCATTATGCCGGCCTTTGATTCGTATCTCACCGTAGACTTTATGATTCACTTTTTGGGTGAAAAAGACTCCATACATTACATGCGGATCCTATTTGGGTGTATTAAAAAGCTGTGGCCAGACAGCATGAGTGTATTTAGAATTAGGGATCTCGTTTAAGCCTCGATTATTGTGTGCTTTTAGTTTTAATTATTACTCACAGATATTTGTTGTAAGGAATAAAAAATATTTAGTCAAAAAGTATTCTTATTTAGTTTTAAACAGGATATTATATGTCACGATTTATAATCCAAGAAATTCGAGATTAATAAGTTGAAAGACTATTTCAATTAGTGCACCTACTAACTGAATAAGCTATAAACTGAGGTGGTTAATTGGTTTGCAACGTTTACCTTTAAAAAGATTACTAACGAATTAACTTAAATTAACAATCGCGTAATTACAAAGTTCATTTAAATTAAACGAAATCAAATTGGCTGTAAATGACGCTAGCTTAATTAAATATCTAGGTTCACACCTATACAATATATGTTTTATTTTAAAAGGTTTCCAAAAATATTTGTTACATACATCGTTACTTAGGTACGGATGCGGCTAAGCCTCCGGGCCGGACGCGACAGGATATATCGATAAGATTGCCACGTGCTTTTATTGTTCCATCCATGAAAGAAAAAACAAAAATCTAAATGAAACCTTTTCTATGTACAAGCGAGCTTTCGATAGATACGTATTTTGTTGCCGCGATTTCTCTTTAGGAAATCTTTTTAACAATACTATAAGGTATACAAATGTGAATGTACATACATAGCTGTCTTCATAATATAGAGGTGACGATCATATATAATATACCTTAACAAAATTCGTTTTTAATTTATAAGGATACTAGCTTTCCGCCCACAGCTTCGCCCGCGTGGAGTTCGGTTATATCGCGTTTCCAAGAGAACCTTTCAAAAGTCTGGGATAAAAACTATCCTATGTTCTTTCTCAAGGTCAACTCTATCTTTGTACCAAATTTCATTAAAATCAGTTCAGTAGTTTAGGAGTGAAAGCGTAACAGACAGACAGACAGAGTTACTTTCGCATTTATAATATTATGTAGTAGGGATTTCATATGTTTATTATAAAAGTGAGACATAATTTCAATAAAAAGTTTCACCAGTTTCACCGTCTAACTGCGGTCTGGTTTTCTTTTAGTATCTCATTGAGGTTTAACTTTTTATTCATTTTCAAAAGAAGTTTTTTTCATTATGACTTTCATTATTCCCATACACCTCCGCTAGCTCAGAGATTTTTGAAACAAATTAATATTAAATGTTAAATATAAAATGTGCAAACTAAATATTAAAAGTCATAGAAATGTATCTTCTTTTTCTGGAATTATTTGACTTTCAAAACCTTACCTCTCATTAACCAAACGAATAATAATATTAAAGAATATAATTATTATTTGTTTTTGTATTTCCCGCTAATATTAGTCGCAAATATTTTATGTTTTTGTATCCAAAAATCTTTTCTGTGAAATGAATATTAGTATAATAGACAATGTACATTTTGTTTTTGTCATTCTATAACATTTATATGAAATTTTAGAATAAATAATATTTATGTAAAATACCTCTTTATTAATTGAAATATTTTCATTAATATAAATAAATGGAAGTTAATAAAAGAGGTATTGTATACATTTTATAATGTAATTACAAAAATTTGTAATTTGTATATTCATCGCAACGATATACTATTTTAAAATAACGCTAATTATTTTTTTTATGCAATGACTTAACTTTTTATAACTCATCTAAATTGAATTTTAAATCAATTTGAAACTTAGAGATTACATAAAATTATTATGGTTTTGTTCTAGACGTCCGTAAAAATATAACAAACAACATACATACAAAATATATTAGTATGGTATAGGTAAATTGCAACAATATCGCACCCACATGCAAATTGGTATCAATAATTATCAAGATTTTACGTAATGCATAAACCTAACCAAAAACACATCTATTGATAAATTTAAATCTTTTCTTCTTATTAATTAATATGAATATGAAATACATAACCCTCCTCTATTTGTTTAAAACAGCAGTAGATATATGTGAAAAGTTGTTAGGTTGTACATTCAAATACTATAAGAATGTTATCCCAAAAACGATATTAATAGAAAACTGTAGTACTTTCCGTATAAAGGTTGACTATTGAAACCCATACTAAGGCTATATCGATAACATCTACATATGTAGCTTTATTTTCCGAGCCTCAGGCGCCTTTAACGGCAAACATTCAAACGATACATTTGAAAATGGGATCAGATCTGGGATTGGACACATTTGAAGACTTTATTTTAACAATTCAACTAAAATTTAATTAATCCGAGTAACTAGAATTTATACCGAGTTATAATGCCTTATTTATTACCAAGTTTTTTGTTGAAACTTATTCATTAACTGTTGATATTAATATTGATAATTTAAGTCAGTGGTGGCCTAGTCGGTAAAAGGCGCTGCTCATGCACGAGGGCGCGGATTCGATCCTGGCCCTGACAAGTACCAAAGTGATTTTTCCGAGTCATAGGTACTTTCTAAGAATATTTAGACATCACTGATTAATGCATTCCCAAAGAGGATTGATGTCAGGCAGGCGGCCGGTCGTAAAAACAATTAGTCAAAACTATTCACAACTTGTAAGGTAGATACTGGCTAAAGCTGTGAAATTGCCACGTACAAGAAGAAGACTAATATTGGTAATTTAAAAATATTTGGTTGCTTAACTTGAGCTTGTAACTTTAATGGTTAATATAAAAGTATATTTTAACTGACTACAACATAATATATCCCTCCACATTCAGGGTTTAAGGAGGCTTGACTGGACTATTGACCAGAGAAGAAATCACGCCGATAAAATTTAATGCTTGTATAAAATGGCTATAAATTTGATTTATGCGACCCCGGACCCCGACAAAACAGGGTAATGTCAAAAAATAACATGAGATAATGTCGGACAGAGTGGGGTGGGATTAGGTTATAGGTCGATGAAAAAAAACATCAAAATATTGATAAGTAATCTATCACTGAATTTCATCAAAAATAAAATGAATTAGTTTTAGTAGATAATACTATTTCAAAAAATAGTTATAAATTTCTCATTTATACTTATAGTAATTCGCATATAAAGTGTTTTTATAAAATATTTCTTATGTATAATTAAATATATGTATAAGACAGTTCTGATGCGAGGTTGTAAAAAAAACAAATATGAGCCTCAAAATTAATTGTATTAAACATCCAAAGACATCAATAAATATCAAACCAAGCAAGTAATTTATGTATGAAATGTTTGTAAAGACCCTTAAAATATAATAAAATTTGAAGCGCTAGGAAGAAACTCAAAATGAGAAGCCACTTTAAAAGATTGGCACTCAACGAACCG